AGAAAAGCCTCTCTGTTCCTCAGCCTGACATCTTCTGCTGTTTTCTATTTCCCTCCTGTGTAGAGGAGGAGCTTAGGTGCTCAACCTCACGCTATGATGCAGAAGCAGTACTGCGGTGAGGCTCCTCTCAGCTGGAGGCTCCAGGAAGCTCAGCCTGTCAGAGAACGCGTCCATCACTGCCACCGATGTGTTTGTTTAAGGCGGCTGCATCTCTTCTGCAGGTTAATTACTCACTTATTGTGGTGGCTTTAAAATCAGGTGCACATCCTCCTCCTGCTGCTGCCGTATAGACTCAATTCAGGCCCAGAAATGTTTGGACATTTGGACTTTTAGTTTAAGGGGAATTCCACCAATTCTTCACAACTTCTGCATAACTCAGTGTGTGAGATGTAATCAGAGTGATTCAGAGTGGTTTGGTGTGAAATGGTTCAGATGTCTTTACAGTGGTGGTGATAGGAACCAGGGGTCGCCATGACTACAACACAGATATAGACATTTTATTTACTATCCAGAACCACCAGTGAACCTACACGAGTCTTCTGAGTTTATATGGAATGTTGATGATGGAAAATAGTGGAAAATCTGAAATAATAAGTTTCTTTGGGGACTATTTTGCCTCACAGCGCCCTGCATGTATCCCTCCACCATGAATGGAGTTTAAGTTCTCTAAACTATCATAAAACAGTGTCTCAGTCATCAGGCAGTGAATTCATAACCATTTCATGTAGGAACTTTCTGTGAGGGAGCTTTTAGAGGTGGACGTCTGGTTCCTATCACCACCACTGTGAACAGTTCTGTTCAGTTTCTCTAGAAACCAAACCGCTCTGAACGACTCTGTTCATGTATGAACCACTGAATTACGTAGAATTTTTGAAAAATCAGTGGGGTTTCCCTTTAATTTGAGGGAGAGGGTTGCCAGGTTGAACCCAGCAGTTTTATAATGGGGGCAAATTGCACAGGGGGGAAAAATGTGTGCAGTAACATTATGAGAGAATAATATTTGGCAGGATAACAAGCTAATGTACTGTAGCATTAGCAGGAACATATGTTCAGCACTGGATTCACCCCAATCAAATCTGCTGTAAATCAGTTCTTAGCTTACGTGATAAACAGTAGACGTTACTATACAACAGTGAACATTAGCAGTCACTAATTTTAATCAGCTCATTTTACCATCATATAGACTACACTCTTAAAAAGATGGTTCTCCAAGGGTTCTTTAGTAAAGGGAATGGTTTTATTTAGAACCATGAGTTTTATATCGAACTACTTCACGCTTAAAGGGTTCTTTGCATGGTGAAACAGTTCTGACTGAAGGAGAATGTGTTGTATATGGTTCTATATAGCAATAACTATAGAAGAGCCCAGAACCACTTTCAAAAAGGCTATAAAGAACCATATACAACAATATTTTCACTACATAAGGTTCACGTTAAGCAGCAGAACCTTTCTGTGACTATTGATTATGGCCAACTGTCTCTGTTTGTTTAACTGGGATGGTCAGAATGCAGCACTGGCCACTCCTTGGCTACACCTCTGTTTGAGGGTATATATTACAACCATTTTCATACAGAGCCCCCATTTTCAGGAGCACAAAAGTAGCTGAACTGCTCAGCTGTTCTGTGGTGTTCCAGGTGTGTGTTATTCCTTAATAATTTCACAACCAAAGTGCAAAATATATGTGGTCCTGACGGGACTGGGACCCCCTAAGTCACCTCCAGGAACCTCTGAATGTCTCTGAAAATAAGCCTATTGTGACGTCAAAATAATGCAAACTCAGTGAAGCTGATTGTTTTTCTGCCTCACCCACAATCAGCTTCTGTCTCTGGTGTTCTTAACTAACCTGAGCTGCAGCTCTGCTCTGCCTCAGGGTGGCGCTGTAGCAGACCGGTCCACGCTTCATAGCCTAGAAACTGTAACTCTGCCCGGATCTGTTGCTGTTGAATCTCAATATGAAGTCCAATGAGCTTCACTGCCAGTATAGCAAGACCATTAGGCAGACCAATACAGACCCATCAGACAGACAGCAAGAACATTAAATATGGCCACATCGATGATTTGGTACATTTGTTAAAACAAAAGAGTGGAAAAGAGCTCAGAAACACCAGAAGACCATCGAAAACAACTGCAGTAGACGACAGGACAAATCTTTCCATGGTGACCAAAACCCTTCATAACAATGAGGTCAGAGTATCTGTGTCAAACCCATCAACCGAAAACTTTACCAGAGTGAATACAGAGGGGTCACCACAGGATGTAGGCCTCAAAAACAGAAAGACCAGATTAGAATGTGCAAAAAATAATCTGTAAAAGTCTGAACAACACCTTACGGACAGTGAGACAAAGATCAGCGTGAACCACCTCATCTGTGCAGCATGGTGGAGGTAGTGTTATGGTCTTTGCAAGCATGGCTGCCAAAGGAACTTGTTTCTTTTGTTTTTGTTGATGAAGAGACCAAAACCAACTTCCAAGACTGAACTTTGGAGGTGTGTCTGCAGATTCTCTGAGGAACTGAAAGTGAGTCTCCTGAACAGAATGGAAGCTGGAATAAAGGGAGAGAGTGACTCACTGAACACTGAACTCTCACACAGCTGAGAGTAGAGTTAGATGTCGTAAAATTACAATAAACATACGTTTTCTGCTTTTTTCCTGATGCTGAAAAATAGTGTGATGTAATTTGTACTTAATTGCTGTTTTTGACTGGAGGTTAAATTAATGAGGGGTGGAGTTTTGCACACAAAGGATAGTTCAGTATTGTACTGTCAGTGTTTTTATACAGATTTATGCTCACTCTGACTTTACACCGTTTCCTCAGAAGACCTTTTCTGCAGTACAGGTGGAGCAGGTGGAGAACAGGCGGCTGCAGGGCTGTGCAGAGTGGCATGACGCAGATTATCAGCTTCAAGGTCAGTGTCAGGTCAGATAAGGGAGGACAAGACTGGACTAAAACGTTCAGGGTCTCTGGCTGTTCCTCCCTCCACACACACCTAACTACGCCACTGACCTCTCAGATATTCACAACTGAACAACACACCACCACCACCACCCCACACACCAATTCTCCTACGCGTCCGGTAGCTAACACAGCAGAACAGCAGGTCCCTCCCGCACATGCTTAGCGGGAATAAATTCACGTGTTCATACATGGATTGTGAGTTACTGTCACCCAGGTTTGTTTCCTGATTAACCCTCTGTGGTCATTCTCTCTCGATCTGTTCATCTCTTCTTAATCTCTCCTCTAAAGGCTCTTCATATATCATGATCCTCATATGATTCATATCTAAATGCTCCGTTATCTTCATCACTACTTTCCAAAACCGCTGCAGCAGCTTCAGCAGCTGTAAACTCTCTGCACGCCGTTTCACATGAGTCTCCGATGTGGACTGAATGAAGAATGAAGGGTTTCCGGCGTGATGGTCAGTCCTTAGTGATTTCCTGAGTGCCCATTGGTCAGTTTCATTCAGAATGTAATCCTATGTCAGTCCCACTGCAGTTATGAGGGGGTCTGGCCTTCTATCTGTCTAACTATCTATCTATCTATCTGTCTATCTATCTATCTATCTATCTATCTATCTATCTATCTATCTATCTATCTATCCCTCTGTCTGTCTGTCTGTCTGTCTCTATATGTATATATCGCTGCTATCAGAGCAAAACCTCGTATCTCCAAAATGGTAACTTTACAGGAGAAGGAAAAAACCTGCTTTACTTTTAATGTAAGTCAATGGAACCAGACTTTTGCTTAAGTCATTTTGAACCCTTTTTGGTCCATTCATCATAAAACTTGCACACAATGTAAAGAACAACAGGTATTTTCAAACTATTTCAAAAACTGAAAAAGAACAAAAATGGAGATACAAGATTTTGTTCTGACAGCAGCGATATATATATATATATATACATATATATTGGTCAGTTAATAAAAAGAACACTTTTATCCCGGTGTGTCAGACTGTGTGGAGAACTCCTGGAGAGGAACTCCACCCAGACTACACTGTGTTCTGTACAGCACAGAGGAGGAAACCTCAGTCCGGCTCTGTTCCTCTGACTCTGCTGTCTCTGATCTGGTGTTCATTGACGGATTATGAACTCAAAAGTGCACTAAGACTAAATCTGATCTGAAACTCACCAGCCGCCTTCTGTGAGACCTGTACAGTCCTGAAATGGTCTGTTTAGCATAAACGCCACTTGGTTTGACATTTTGTTTCCCAACACAATGAACTTAACCACTTTGACCACAGCACAAATGTCCAGATACGCTTGAACCCTTTGGTAATACATATATTAACGGTACAGGGCATAAAGAACAAGTTATTTTAAAGCGTCAGGAAAAAGAAGAAAACAAATATTTGTCAGAATAGTGCACATTTTTCCACACCTATAAGTTCAGTATTGGAAGTTGGCTGAGACCTGATGTTTACATTCACCTCAACTCAGTATATATATCTATATATATATATATCTGCCCTTGACCAAAAGCTGTTAACACAAAGCGTAAAGGTTTCTGAATGTGTAAATATCATGTTCATTCAGGCCGTATCTCTACAGAACAGCGTCTGATAGCTTGTCAAGCTAATGTGTTTAATGTGCCAGTAAATGTATACTGAGAAAGAACGTGAGAGTCCAGCAGCAGGATGAGAATCTATCTGCATGGAAATAGTTTAATTACATCTCAAATTACTTTTCACTGCATTACATTTACATTTACACATACATTACATTTTATTTTAGTCACACTTTTGATGGCAGTGTTTCAGATTAAACCTCTCAGGGTTTTACTGAAGGTGTAAATAATCAAAACTGAATAAAAAAGCAAGGTTTCATTGAAGATGGATATTTATTTAAATAAAACATAAATCCAACAAACGTGATAAATACTGAGCATCACTAGTTTCTAGAAGAAAATAAAATCTTTGCAAAATACTTTAAAAAATTATACAAGAACTGCACTTAAAATAAACCAAGCTTAGTAAAGACCTGTGTGTGCTTGTTTTGGGGTAAAATTGCATTATCATGTTTTATTTGTATATTTTCTACATCTGTAGTAGCTGCACTGTTTATATGAATAATTCATTTTTAATACAGTGGGCCGAATTGCTTTCCTCACCAACTTTTGGGCTGTTTTAGTGCCTGTGAATACAACACAGGCAACACTAGCAGACTGATATTGTTCCTTTCCCGGTAAACTGTGGCTGAAGGAAACTGAGGATAATCAAATACGTCTACAGAGAAAACCAATACCAGCCGACATATTGCTGAAATAAAGGAAATAACACTAAATAAACAATATCACTGCACATTTGCACGTCTGGACCTCCAAAGTTCAGTCACAGCTAAGAAGAAACAAACACTGGCTTCAGGTTTTACAGCAGCGCTTTCGTATAGCTCTGAAAATAGCGGCACCAGGAACAGCGAGACTCGGGATTCCAGCCAGGATGAAGATTATTACGTAGATCCAGGCCGGATAGGGCTTCTGCTCCAGAGTCGGAAATTTCACCTGCAACACAGACGGATCAGCAGGGCACTTTAGACCATCACTGTCCACGTATTTGTTCTTCACTGACCATTAACAGGAATAATAATAATAGCTCCACCAGTGGGGAGGCGCTGTGTTCTGTACAGAACCAGATAATCTCAGTTTTTAAATATTTCAATCATTTTTTGTCTCTTAATTTTCATCACAATAGCATTCAGCCAGTAACGGGGGGCTTCTCCAACATGTTACTCATACAATAACCATGGAAATGGGTGTAATGTTACTATGGAAACAGGTGCAAATGAGTGTAACCATGGAAATGGGTTTAATGTAACCATGGAGATGGGTGTAGTGTAACTATGGAAATGGGTCTAGTGTTACCATGGAAATGGATGTAACCATGGAAATGGGTGTAGAGTTACCATGGAAATGGGTGTAGTGTAACCATGGAAATGGGTGTAGTGTAACCATGGAAATGGGTGTAGTGTTACCATGGAAATGGGTGTAACCATGGAAATGATCAATGTATCAGTGCTGTAGTTGTACATCATGAGCTCTTGAGGCATGGTGGGTAAAATCTCACCGATTCAGGGTCCCAGGCGATATAGAAGAGCTCCTTGGAGATGGTGGTGACGAAGTAGAAGAGGAAGATGACCAGCATGATGAGGGGGCTGATGACCCTCCAGGTGGCCTGCCAGAAGATGTTGGGTTTGTGGCCAATCATGAAGACCAGGTCTTCATTGAACCTGTTCACAGAGCACATGGTTTCACTTCACCCAGCAGTTTAAAGACAATAAGAAGATTGTGGGGAACAGGACTGTGTCTTTTCAGTAAAATGATATGATGAAAGGTGCTGAATATGAGCAGGAATATGAATAAACAATGTAGAAAAGGCTTATAATATCAGGTGACCTACCTGTCCATACCATAAACATACACCACTCCAACCATCTCACAGAAGCCTGTGATGAGGAGAGGGATGGAGCCAGCGAAGCTGTCGAAGAGCGCCAGCCAGTAGTTTCCTGATCCCTGAACAAATATCAGCCCCATACAGCAACACAGCAGACAGGTGATCCCTGAAGCAGTGCAGCAAAATTAAGAGGTAAACACAGTGTAAATGTGATGAGTTTGTAAGATACCATAATTGGTGAGTTTGATTGAGAGACATATTTAAAACTAACTGGACGTGGCCGAATATCCCATATGGAATAAGAATATATGCTAATGTGCGAAATTGCTACTCAAAACGGTTCTGAAGGCAGCACTGCCTTCGAGGTAGAACGAGCGTAATTGGTTACCAGCCAGCAGGTGGGGATGAATGTCATTGGTTAAGCAGAGCAAGTTGGAATGAGAGATATACTATAAGGTTTGTCATGTAGAGGCCCAGGGCGGCACGGTGGCGCATTGGGTAGCGCTGTCGCCTCACAGCAAGAAGGGCCTGGGTTCAATTCCCGGCCGGGTGACCAGGGTCGTTTCTGCGTGGAGTTTGCCTGTTCTCCCCGTGTCTGTGTGGGTTTCCTCCGGGTACTCCGGTTTCCTCCCACAGTCCAAGACAGGCTAAATTGCCCCTAGGTGTGAGTGTGTGTATGTCTGTCTGTCTGTCTGCCCTGCGATGGACTGGCGACCTGCCCAGGGTGTATCCTGCCTTCCGCCCAATGACAGCTGGGATAGGCTCCAGCACCCCACCGCGACCCAGAAGGATAAGCGGTTTAGATGATGGATGGATATAGAGGCCCATGTGTACTTTGATGTGTTCATAATTCACGTCACGCTGAAAGCAGATTATTATTATTACTTTTATTACTAGTTTTTCACAAAAACGTTGGATAAAATCTGGAGCCATGAAGGCACAGTGTGCAGGTTCTACTGTAATATGCTTAACGTTTACAGAGTTGAGATTTGGGCACAGAGAGCTTGACCACAGCAAGGTTTGGTGGCTGCACAGCGCCATCGTTGCTAGAGGTATGTCTTCAGTTCCAACATGTAAACACAGCGTTAGTAAAGAAGCTGCTGTCAGTCATGTTTAATAGCCAGCATTCTTACTAGTCTACTTACATTACTTTGCACTAACAAGCAAGCAGTCAGAGAAGACGCTGCCTCAGAAGCTGCTAGTTTTCCAGGCAGCTTTCTGAGGAACGAGCAACGTGTAAAAAGAGTTTCCTGAAAAACGAACAACACCAGAAACTGAATTACATACCTTTTAATGCACTGCATCTACTTTAGCAGCACTGAGGAACAGAGAGACGTTTCTAAAGATAAGCCCCGCCTATTGGTTACTTTAATTGGTTGTTCTCTGAACCAATTCCGTTCGTTCTGCCTCAGGGGTAGCGCTGCCTTCAGAACTGTTTTGAGTAGTGATTTTGCATATGAGCAAAATATATGGCCATGTTTTTTTATATATTTGAAGTACATTTCAGTTACAGTGCAGTCCATGTTAAAATACATTCAAACACTAAAATGTATTTCAGAGTTATATTGCCATACTGACCACTGATGAAGGACTAGACCGATGACCAACACAAACTGTGCAGCAGCAGATGAGCTATCGTCTCTGACTTTACATCTACAAGGTGGACTGACAAGGTAGGAGTGTCTAATAGAGTGGACAGTGAGTGGACACAGTGTTTAAAAACTCCAGCAGCACTGCTGTGTCTGATCCACTCGCACCAGCGCAACACACACTAACACGCCACCACCATGTCAGTGTTACTGCAGTGCTGAGAATGATCCACCACCCAAATAGTACCTGCTCTGTGAGGGTCCATGGGGGTCCTGACCACTGAAGAACAGGGTAAAAGGGGGCTAACAAAGTATCAGAGAAACAGATGGACTACAGTCTGTAACTGTAGAACTACAGAGTGAAACTATACGGTCAGTGGAGCTGATAAAATGGACAGTGAGGTGGTTTTAATGTGACGGCTGATGGGTGTAGATTGTACAGTTTGTATATTGTGGCCCACATGAGCAAGATTTTATTCTGTGTACTGTTCAAGTAGCTCATATGTGTACGTTCACCACATCCTTCATTCTGAATCGTACCATAGTAATCAAGGAGAGTTGTGGTGAAATGTGAGATTTCATGGTGAGCTGAATTGTTCTCTACTAGATTGTAATCAAATCAAATCATAAGGGCTAAAATGAATGAATGGTTTGCAAATTGAAGCTGGTCCCTCTGAGTGGAGAACCTGAGTGCAGTACCTGAGATGGCTTCTTTGGTCCAGCTCTTGGGGAAGACCTTTAGGTCCTGCAGGGGAACCAGCACTCCTTCAATGTTTCCAAACATGGAGGACAAGCCGAGGCAGAAGAGCATGACAAAGAACAGGACGGACCACAGTGGAGCCAGGGGCATCTTAGTGATGGCCTCAGTGAAGACGATGAAGGCCAGGCCTGTACCCTCCACACCCTGTTTAGAGAAGCACGGTGGAAACTTCAGGTATTTATTCAGGTTCAGAGAGCAGCGAGATCCCAACTCCATGGCACATGTTTTTCACTGCCTGGCCACTGACCCCACCTTTCAGCTCCGTCTTGCTGGTGTAAAGTTATAGACTGTTGATGTACAGTTTGTTATCCATCCTCTAGTCCTTCATCAATGCTCAGTTTCTGACCACAGAGCTGCTCTTATGTAGAAGTACAAGGTTTCTAATAAAGTGGCCAGTCAGTGGAAGCACAAGGTAGGTGTTTCCAATAAAGTGGCCAGTTAGTGGATGCACAAAGGTGGGTGTTTCCAATAAAGTGGACAGTTAGTGGGAGCACATGATGGGTGTTTCTAATAAAGTGGCCAGTTAGTGGAGGCACAAGGTGGGTGTTTCTATTAAAGTGGCCAGTTAGTGCAAGCACAAGGTGGTGTTTCTAATAAAGTGGCCAGTTAGTGAAAGCACAAGGTGGGTGTTTCCAATAAAGTGGCCAGCTAGTGGAGGCACAAAGTGGGTGTTTCTAACAAAGTGGCCAGTTAGCCAAAGCAAAAGGTGGGTGTTTCTATTAAAGTGGCCAGTAAGTGGAAGCACAAGGTGGGTGTTTCTAATGAAGTGTAATGCTTCTAGAAGTACATTATCATGTGATCCTGATCAGGACTGTACCTCAGTGAGGAAGGTGTTCAGGTCACATGTCTGTAGGTTCAGGCCGCTGATGATGTCTGGATAAGTGGCATTAAGGTTCTCCAGAGCCAAATTATAGTTACTCTCGGTGATGTTTCCCTCCGGCAGATCAAAGTTGTTCAGCAGAGCCAGGATGTTTCTGTGGGACAGATGCAGAGCAGATGTGTTGAATATTAAATTGTTTTTTTTTTTCATTTGGCTGCTGTTAAAGTGAGCTTTCCCTCTTACTGTAGATGCAGTCAGTCAGCCAGGACCTGCTTGGTGTCTTTGATTCTTTAGCTTTAGCGCGACAGCTATGAGGCTAATGTAGCTAACAAGTAACAGAATGTTTAAAGCGTTAGCAATTAGCTTTGTTCATGCACCTAAATTAACACACTCTCCTCAGACTGTGTGGAGCTGTTCAGCATCTCTGATAGACTTGATTCTGTGGTTTCTGACCCTGTGTGACCCACTGTTCCTCAGACAGTGAGAGGACATCGGGCCACTGTTGACCTGATGACGGCAAAGATGGTTCTTCAGAGGTTCTTTAGTAAAGACAACAGTGCTTAAGAACCCATAAACACTTAAAGAACCCTCTGCATGCTCAAATGGTTCTCTGCATGGTGAAATGGTTCTTCAGACTGATGGAGAATGTGTTGTAAATGGTTCTATACAGCAGCAAAGAGTTTTCTGCTCTGATTACAAGCTTGACATCGTAACTTTCTGCTGTGGGAAATGTAGGAAATGACTGGTCGCTTGTGGCTCTTTCGCCTGGTAGCGTGAACGCTGGGTGAGACATGCAGTTAGCGTCTTGCTAACTGGTAGGGTGTAAGCTTAAATGACTTGTTAGCTACATCAGCCTCGTAGCTAAGGATCAACTTCAGACACCAAACCTTTCTTGTCTGATCCTCTACATCAAAGGAGGTGGGGGGGCGTATAAACTAGACCTTTAAGAGAGTAAGACGCAGGTACGTACCCTTCCCAGACAGTCGTCAAATCTCTGTGTGGCTCTGAAGCCGATGATGGTGTAGATGACGGTGGCGGCGAAGATTGATGTGAAGGCGTTGATGATGGAGATGATCACAGCGTCCTGCTCACAGTTATTACTGACAGAAAGACAAAGATACTAAAGTACAGGACGTAACACTGCAGACATACGCATGCCCAGTAAAACACTGCACTGACGTCCTTGATTCAAACATGTACATCATTTCCACAGTAAAAACCCAACTCTGTATTTCAGTTTACTTTTAACAGTGATTGCACTGATGTGCCACGTTTTAAAGCTGCACTATGTAATGTTTGTTGTTAAAACTGAAAGTAGTGTCATTAATGAGTGAGGAGAATGTAAACAGGCTAAAATACGGTGAGTCTGTGCTGCTGCGAGTCGCCTGTAAAGCCCGAGGCGTTGAGTTTTTCACACCACGTCGTACGTCTTTACGTATTAACGTCACACAGACTCTAAAAGAAGGTCCAGCTCGATGTTTCGGCCTCAAATGATCTCAGAATCAACATCACACTGATGAAGATGTGATGACTATAGTAGATAATTCACTCTCATCCTCAGAGACGCTGCTTCACCAAGTTTAGACTGAGTTCTCTCTGAATTCTTTTTAAACTCAGTCGCAAAACTCAGATCCATCCACTTGTGGGGGTCCGAAGCACGACTGGCATTACAGAGAGTTCTTCTGCACATTGCATGCAATTACATATGTCCACCAGAGAGGGCTCCAAATCCCCAAATCGTACATAGTGTTGCTCTAATTTATGAAACGATGTACACACTTGATAATGCAGAGCTTTACTCCTTTACAGAAACACCAACAACCTTCAGTACCTGTTAAAAGTATAAACTCAGAATGATTTGATTCTGTCTGATTATGACTCTTTGGGAAATGATTCAGTGCATCATGAAATGTCATGTGTGACCATGATTGGATTTAACTCTAATCAATTTGACTTTATTTTCAAATTATTTAAAAGTAACAGGTAAACATTGTTAATAGGAAACAACACTTAAACCTTTTTTGTTTGTTTGAAAACAGCCTGCAAAGTCTATTTTGGCCAAAATTAAGCTCATACATTATTGAATATTATTGTAATTCATTATAATCAAATTCTTCATCAATCCAATTAAAATGTTAATTTAATTAATTAAACCTTTGGTTTAGTGCATTTTTACACTTTTAGCACCTTTTTTAAAAAAAATTAAGACTGAATTCAGAATGTTTGGATGTTTTGGACTTACTGGATGGAGTTGTAGCTGGAGAAGGAGATGAGGCCACCAAACGCCAGAGAGAAGGAATAAAACACCTGAGCTCCTGCGTCCAGCCAGGTGGCTGGGTTCGCTAGCTCATTCAGCTACACAGACACAGATATAAACACACACACACACACACACACACACACGCACACACACACACAAATTAATTTTAAGGCTAATCAGGACAGTAACATTCCCTCCTGAATAAGTCTGAGGTGTGTAGAATAGTCTAAATCAGTACTGCAGTAATATTATCAGTGACTGAGCAAAGCAAAGCAATCAAATTGAAAGTATGAACGTTAGAAAGTACAGATCCATTATCTGTGTACTGTAGTATGCAGAGCTGAGTGAGTGGATCCAGCTGTTTCACACCTCTGGATTAAAAGTTGTTGATTGTGTGAATTAACACTCACATCTGGCGTGAAGAGAAATATGATCCCACTGACGGAGCCTTTGAGGGTGAGGCCTCTGATGAGGAAGATAGTGAGAACCAAGTAAGGTAGGGTAGAGGTCACATACACGGCCTGGAGGAGAGAGAGATCAGACAGATATCTCACTAAAGCACGGCTAAAACTCCGTCATCACTCCTCCTTTATCTCAATACAATTTCAGAGCATCAAAATAAAATTTATTTTAAGCATTTATGCATCCCGAAGTCTAATAATTTAAGGTAGTGCAACTGTCCAACCACTTAATTAAACCACCAATTAATTAAAGTAATTTTTAATTTAAATTAAATGCTTACATGTTTGAAAACATGTAAAACAGGGGCAGCTTTAAAATGATCAAACTCAGAGCAAAACTTTTGCCTGCAAATTCTGATTTCCACAGCTAGGACTAATGCTAATGCTAATGTTATTTCAAAGCGACCTTGTGAAAGTTGCTCTTTCAATATGACATGTTATTAATATATTATTGTTATTATTAAAAGTATATAACACATGGAGCACCCAGTGTGTTCCGAACAAGTAACAAAAACATAACAGTGTTTATTGTGAGTTATGAAATAATCAGGATTCTCTGAACTGACATTAAATGTGTCACTCAGAAGCAGCAACTGCTGACTGAGCTGTGCACCAAAGGCCTCATTCATCAGCCACAACTTCAGCTTTATTACACAAGTACGGCTGAAACCGCCTGTTTAATTGTTTACATAGGGCTATAAACTTTAAAACGGCTCTGAGTCTAAATCATTACCCAGCAGTGTTCCTACAGCGTACAGTAAAAAAGGTGTTTTGTGATATTCAGCATTTCTGTAGAACATGTTTAAATGTAAGGATGTCTGTCAGATTATGTTCTTTATTTAGCATAATGTCCTTGCTTAAATATGAAATGACTCATAGAGGTAATAAAATGACTGTTCTGTGCTGGACTAAAGCCTAAAACACTAAACTTTTATAAGACTTTATCAGTGTCCTTTGGAAAACAGTTATCATTATTTACAGTTAGCAATTGTTCATCTTTAACTGGAAGCATAAATACAATCTATTTTCCAGGATAAGGTTCATCACTGAACTGAGGTAATACCACTCCAGAAGAGTCCAGACGCCACTCCTAATTAGTGGATTACGCTTGTTTAACTCTCAATAGTCGGCAAACTTGCCAGGCGTATCTGTATCTGTCTCTGTGTCTGTGTCTGTATCTTTGTGATGATCCAGCTCAGAAATCCAGTTCAAACACTTCCTGAATCTGTAGAGTCGCCCTTTCCATTCCATCTTATCACGAGATCATACGAGACTCACATCCGGAGTTATGAGCCGATGAAGAGGGGCTGAGATACACGTCATCTGCCTCTCACCGTGTGGAACTGGTGGATCTACATCGGAGACTCATGTGAAACGGCGTGCAGAGAGTTTACAGCTGCTGAAGCTGCTGCAGCGGTTTTGGAAAGTAGTGATGAAGATAACGGAGCATTTAGATATGAAACATATGAGGTTCATGTTATATGAAGAGCCTTTAGAGGAGGATTTAGGAAGAGATGAACAAATCAAGAAAATGACCACTGAACACCTTTGGGATGAGTTTGGAGTGATGAAGCACCACTAAACATCTTTTGGATGAGCTGGTGCTCCAGACCTAAATGGCCAACATCCCTGATGACCTCACTAATGTTCTTGTGGCTGAATGGATCAGATCCCAGAACTTCTCCAATATCGAGTGGAAAGTCTTCCCAGAAGAGTAGAGACTGTTACAGCAGGAAAATACATTCCTACTCATACCCTTCAAGATGAAGGAAATGTTGGACAAGCAGGTGTCCAGTCTGGACGTACCTTTCCGGTGGTCTCTATTCCACGGATGCAGCAGACATAGAGCACAGCCCAGGCTGAAATCAGACACAGCACCATCCACCACTGCAGGCCTCCAGTTTGGTCGATGTCTGTGGTGATGTTCAGGGTCTTCCTGTACCAGAAATAATCCACCGGAGAGCTTCTCTCACACTCCGACTCAAAACCTGACGACAGAGCAAGGCTTATTTCAGCTTTTTTTACTTTAAACTTAGCTTTAGCAAGACTTGGAATGGATTCATGCCTGAAGAGTGAGTCTAGAACAGTCTGGGTATTTACTCACGTGTAATTGTAGACACTGTCCGCAATATATAGTTTCACATCAGCGCAAATAAGCTAGTAAGCAAGAGAGCGAGTGTGTGAGTTCACTCTCTCCAGAGAAAAGTAATCGCTTGACTCTACACCTGGTTCTGCACATGTATTTACTTCATATATCAGACAGTACATTAAGCTAGCAAGCAAGGTAGCCAATTAGACAAATTAGATGTTAAGGTGGCGTAAAATGACCAAACCTACCATTCAATTGTTAATTGTGGTTATTACAATTGGTCAGTGTTTTAAAGAGATCTGGGCCAGAAAGGGTTTTCAGGGCAGGTAAGTCATTTTTTGGTTACTGAGCTGTTTGTGTGAACACAAAATCCAGCCTGATATCACTGTAATCTCCATCTTGTTTCTACAGCGCAGCTCCGTTTAGAAGCAGCTGACCAGCTCACAGCCAGTGCAGCTGGGCTTCAGTCCAGCCTCCGCACTGCGGGGTCAGTTCACACACAGCGTTACAGCTCAGACTCCTTCAGCACACAAAGACTAATAAAGCACATTCAGTCTTTTAGTTCCATTTACACAGATTTAAACTGAAGCAGAGAAACATCTGAAAACAGAGACTTTCTGCTTTATTAGGATCTTTCAGACGTCAGTATTTTGGTTTTTAATACGTTTATTAATGAAATTGACATTATCAGCTGGTAAAGCTGTAGTTATTCAGAGACAATGTTCATATTTTACTGATGTTTTTATTCACTGGACTAAAATAAATCTGTCACTGTTTGACACTCAGACTCAGTCAGTGTTCATATATAATCTGATGTGTGTGTATCAGCTGATCTGTCTGTCTGTCTGTCTTATAGATGATAATATATAATGCAGAACGGCTGGAAAATAGATTTGAATTATACTGAATTAACTCTGTTTGCACTGATTGATCAGACGTTTCTATCAGGTGTTAAACTGACCCTCTGTCTGTTACAGTGAACCCAACCCAGGGGCTAAACTGGAACTGCACTTCCCTCATTTTGGGCTTGTCCTGAACAGTAGGAGCCAGAAACAAAGCTCAAGTGTTTGTAGCAGAGATGTTTATGTTGTTTGTATGAAAATATGATTATTCAAACTTAAATATCACTGTGTTAGTTGGTGCCCACTTTCCACTAATTTTGGAGCTTCATCAATCCAAAAAGAGAAGAACAGAGCTGTTCAGACTTTGGTTCCTCTGCTGGTAGATACTGGATACCACAGAACGTCTGATCTGGAGGACGGCTGAGGGATCATTTCTGAGTAGAGGAGACTGGTGGAGATACCATGAACTAAACTGCCCCCAAACCTGCTTCGTGGTACCTGTTCTGTTTGCATTGACGGGGCACTGACTCCAGGGTAGAGGCTCCTGGAACGAGTTGAAGAAGTACCACAGGACCCAGGCGATGATAGTGTTGTAGTAGAGACTGACCAACAGGGACACACACATGGACGCAATGCCTGTGGGGAGAAGTTTCCGTCAGCTGTGGTACAGCAATAACAGCTATAACAACGAAAGAGAAGATTTATTATTTAGCATTATGAAAATATCACCGTGGTAACTGGTTACTAGCTTCTATTGATAGTTAGCAGCACTAACGTGTCCTGTGTCCAGCATTAAACACCTCTTCATACATTTTGTTGAGTTATTTCTAAATTAAGTGGAGGAATTTTGTGGAAAAGGCAGATTCTAAACTTTCAATCTATCCTCATTGTGTCTGTGGGTAGAAGTGTTGCTAGGCTGTTGCTATGGTATCCCTGGTGGTTGCTAAGGTGTTGCAAAGCTGTCACTATGGTATCCCTAGTAGTGGCTAAGGTGTTGCTAGGCTGTTGCTATGGCATCCCAGATGGTTGCTAAGGTGTTGCTAGGCTGTTGCTATGGTATCCCTGGTGGTTGCTAAGGTGTTGCTAGGCTGTTGCTATGGTATCCCTGGTGGTTGCTAAGGTGTGGCTAGGCTGTTGCTATGGTATCCCAGGTGGTTGCTAAGGTGTTGCTAAGCTGTCACTATGGTATCCCAGGTGGTTGCTATGGTGTTGCTAGGCTATTGCTATGGTATCCCAGGTGGTTGCTAAGGTGTTGCTAGGCTGTTGCTATGGTATCCCTGGTGGTGGCTAAGGTGTTGCTAGGCTGTTGCTATGGTGGCCCTGGTGGTTACTAAGGTGCTGGAGATAAGAATAAACACTACGGTGTTTATGATGATTTGAATTTGATGTTATTGAGTCCAGTGGGAAGAAAAAACTGTCCTTCACAATTTTGAAAGAGTGACTGTAACACTGATACACACAAGCTCGGATATACAATAATGCCTGATACAAACTTAAAATGTCCACATTTCATCTAGAATGGACTAAATACTTTCTGTGAATTGCTGTTAGCTTAGCGCTAACATGCTACCAGAATCCCATAGCGGTGCTAGCAGAAATTAGCGTTATGAAAAAGTCATTTTTTCCTGATCTTTGACCATTTTGAACAAACTGAAGGGCTAACAGTGACAGTCACAGTTCACTACTGACGTAAGTGTTATTAATTATTAAACACTCATAATGACAGCACCCTGCAAAAGATTTAAGTTAGCAAGTGAAATCTTACATCTAATCTGTACATCATATATTTCTCATGTTGAGATTGTTGTGAGCTTATTATAAGATTATTTTTTATTTCTTGACATTGTTTTCTTATTTTGACTGATTATATTAAGAAAAGATACTACACTGACAGACAATTTAGCTTATTTTAAGAAATATGCTTGAAATATACCTGCCACTGTAGTGAGACAATTTCACTTAGTAAAAGTACCTAATATAAGTGAAAATGTCTGAAAATAAATTTAATAATCATATATTGTTCTTACAAAAATCTCAAAAAAAGAAATATTAGATAAGATTTAAGATCATTTCACTTGCTGAGATATAATTTTACAGTGTAATTTTCAGGAACGCAAGCTAAATAGATCTTTTTAAACCCAGATTAAAAATATTAGTTCAGGCTAGAAGTTCTGTGGGTCATTTTCTCCTTTAGAGCACATTGATTTTATCACTCCAATGATTTAGAATTAGATTTGTTATATACGTTGACTGTACTCTATGTGACTGAATGTAACTGTGTGGTGTGATGAAGTGATCTCTCCATTTGAGTCCGAGAGCTTGACGTTCCCTCACTGGTGTGGTGTGTCTCTCCCTCACCTACTCCCAGCATGTAGGGGTTAATGGTTCTCCACACGTCCATGCTGCCTTTCCTCAGCCGCTGACCGATCGCGAACTCCAGGTGAAGCAGAGGGATTCCCTCCAGCACCAGCAGGATCAGGAACGGGATCATAAACGCTCCTGAAGAACAGAACGATCTGATAAAGGCTCAGAACCCGAAAACACGTAAATGAACATTTGAAAGGAAACATTATGGTGTCCTAGAACCTGTAGTTCTCAGGGGTTCCACAGAAACAGGACATCTGAGATAAAAGATCAGCTTCAGAAGCAGGAGAGGTAGAACCAGGTCAATATAGCAGAAGTTCGATGTACTTATATAATAATGAGTGAGTTATTATATTATGTTATATTATATTATATTATATTAAATTATATTATATTATATTATATGCAAAAGTGTGGGTGTCCTGGTTTTATTAATATAATCAATATGTTAAACTCAGCAAATAAATACAAACACAAATATGTACACAAAATGCCATTTTTTAAATTTGAAATAATAGAAAATCAAAAATCCATGAATTTTCAATTAAATCCCAGATGGTTCTTAAGGTGCTGCTAGGCTGTCATTAAAGTATCCCAGGTGGTTCCTAAGGTTTTACTAGGCTGTTGCTATGGTACCCCAGGTGGTCGCTAAGGTGCTGCTAGGCTGTCGTTATGGTATTCCAGCTGGTTCCTAAGGTGTTACTAGGCTGTTGCTATGGTATACCTGGTGGTTGCTGAGGTGTTGCTAGGCTGTTGCTATGTTAACCCAGGTGGTTGCTAATACCTGTGTATATATGTGCTAGTATGTATGTGATTCTCTATGAGGGGCAGTGTGAGAGACGTCTTTTGTAGGGAAAAAACATTCTGTACAAAAACAAACACTGTACAAAAACTGTACGTGTCCAAAAGCACTAGCGCAATATTCCCATGGCTCTAGGTTGACAGCTGTCACCTGTGAGGACAATACAAAAAATACCAAATAAGAAGAGGATAATAAAGAGCAGTAAGCTGGTAAAGACAGTTTACTGTACCTAATTATTAATGAAATACCTCATGGAGCACCAGGACGTTTTCTGCGGAACATTTTAAAGAGCATTTTAAAATGTGAACAGGGTTTCTAAGGGTCATCAAACCCTTGGACACATTTCAACTCATGAACATCTTCAATTGTCTGCAAGATAAGATCAGATAAGCTGAGACGAGATAAGATAAGATACGCTTTATTGATCCTTAGAAGAAACCAACTGGGAGAGGACAGAAGTGAGCACTGAGGAAAAAAAAAATCTCAGAAGATATAAAACAATAAAAATAAACATTTTTATAATTGATATAAAAATATACAACATACAAAGTTTAATAATATGATTATGATTTGTGATATGATTAATGGACTTGTTGGTGCACTTGTAAATATGATATTACCCACAAATACAGTTACCGTAATCTGTGGTAATATTTAAGGGCATGTTTAAGCAAATTTAAAGCTTAACTAAAGGGCAGCATAGTTAAGTGTACTTCCTTCAGTAGTGTTAAAGCAGTAGTGTTATCTTACCTACTGCAGTTCTACAGTGGAACTCAGAACCCCAGGAATTTAAGAACCTCCTTTTTAGTTCCACTCTAGCTGTTTTCTGGAAAGGCAGTTTTACTTTTCCAAACTTTAGGTCCAAAAAATTGCTACAGTATGTAATTCTCAAATATAAACAGGAAGCAGTGATTAGTAAATACACTTTGACCTGTATTACACTGAGAACAGTACAAAGGCCAGATATTTAATGTGTTATCTTATCAACATCATTGTTCTTTCTAAACACTCACTTGGTCTGAAAATGATGTCTGCAACACGTTCCAAAGAAGTTGAGGTAACTGAAGATTTTCATATTGTGGAAAAAAACATCTTAAACTGGTGATGTAGTCATGCTGGGGTGTAAGAGGAGCATCCAGGAAAGTTCTAGTCTTTGAGCAAATACAAGTCACCACTTTGCCTAATAACATGTTAGTAAGTTTATAATAAAGTTCCTCAACGAGTGTTTGTAAGGATTTTAGGTGTTTCACCCTCTACAGCGCATAATATCATCAACAGATTCCGAGAAGCCAACGAAATCTCAGTGTATAAAGGAAAAGGCTGAAAACCACAACTAAATGCCGGCATGGACGTCACCACACGGGCTCGGGAATACTTGTCAGTAAACACTGTCACTGCATCAACAAATGTAAGTTAAGAGTTAAGTTTTCAGGGACGTCCATGTTTATTTCAACATGACACACCGAGAAATATTCTGCAGGTGTTATGACAGCATGGCTGTGTAATCAGAGAAGGAGGGTTCTAGACTGACCTGCCTGTCTAATACTGAATACTCGTATAAGTGAAGAATGGCAAATATTTCTACTTTTCAATCTGGAACAGTTTGTGGTGATGTAACTTAGGGGTAAACGTGCGTCCTGGAACATGTTACAGGCATTGAATTTAAAATGAGCTTATATTTACAAATAATGATGTTCATAAGGTAAAACATCAAATTTGTTTTTGTACTGTTTTCAATGTAATACAGGTAAACCATAATTTACTAATTACTGCTTTCTGCTTTTATTAATTGAAGTAGAAAATCTATGCAGCTGTAATATCTCAGGTGGGCTGAATGAAGTGGGCACTTAAAGGGGAATTTCACTGATTTTCCAGAATTCCTTCATAATTCATTGTGTGAGGTATAAACAGAGTGACTCAGAGTGGTTTGGTGTGAAATGGTTCAGATGTCTTTACAGTGGTGGTGATAGGAACCAGGAGTTGCCATGACTACAACACAAATATAGACATTTTATTTACTATCCAGAACCACCAGTGAACCTACACGAGTCTTCTGAGCTTATATGGAATGTTGATGATGGAAAATAGTGGAAAATCTGAAATAATAAGTTTTCTTTGGGGACTATTTTGCCTCACAGCGCCCTGCATGTATCCCTCCACCATGAATGGAGTTTAAGTTCTCTAAACTATCATAAATCAGTGTCTCAGTCATCAGGCAGTGAATTCATAACCATTTCATGTAGGAACTTTCTGTGAGGGAGCTTTTAGAGGTGGACGTCTGGTTCCTATCACCACCACAGTTGGTGACCAGTGATTTACATAACTCTGTTCTCGTGTGTACAGTGTGATACAGAGTTCTGCGTATGTCAGCCAGGTTGTGTTTGGATCTTTTGCTCTTTTCTGTTTAGAAATGCTGGTTCCACACTCTTATCAGCTTCCCAGTGGTCACTCAGTGTACCACCCTGACCACAGCACAGCACGTTCAGTCTCATCTGGGGCTGCTGTTTTATCAACATGTGGAACATGTGATTGGTTCAGTCACCCCGCTGCACTTTTATAAAGGTGTGTTTACACAGGTGATAAAAGCCTTAAGGAAGTGCATTTAGACGTTCGTAGATTAAAGAGTGCAGGACGTATAACACTCACACACGCGTGGGAAACTTTACTACCTTCTACTGACTGTGACTTTTGGTACCTTAGTTTTGGCAACTTTCCAGCCCCATATGGAAACAAATATATTCCAAATGTATTTATGAAATATATTTTTGTAATGTATGAAAATGGACAAAACTGTATTTGTTACATACATGTTTAAAATGCCTTTATTAATTTTAGTTATTATCTGTGTTCAGTTGAGTGTAATGAAGGTTCCAGATGTAACTAAACGTACTGACTGTGATCTGCACTGTACTTTACATTAACCATGTACGTCTGCAGTCAGACTCTCACACACAATGTATTTCACATAAACAAGATATCAGATCATAACTGCATTTTCACAGAGTATCAATACCCACAACACTCGCTTCTGTCCTGTTAAAGGATCATTAGATCAGATTTAAAATGAAGATACTGGAACACAAATTCATTTCTAAAGGTATCAGACAGGATTCTGGGTATTTTCATACATTTTCAGATGGATTTAATAAACACATTTACACACAGTTATTTTGTCTATGAGTAATATTTCCACACACATTTAAATGCATTTTAAAATATATTTGCTTAATATGGCAAAATATTCTGAAATACATTTTAGTGTTTGGAATGTATTTCAGCATCGACTGCAGAGTGTTTGAAATGGATTTAAAATATATAAAAATATATGTCTATATGTTTTTTTTCCACTTGGGGCAGTCTTTGCTTTATTTCACAGCTTATTTAAATCTTAGTGGATTTCTATGTTGTGGATGTTTAAAGTTGTTATTAAAAGGAGAATTTCCAAAAATTCTATTCAGCGAGTGGTTTGGTGTGAAACGCTCTGTTCTAGATAAACTCACCGAGTCAGAACTGTTCACAGTGGTGGTGATAGGAACCAGACGTCCACCTCTAAAAGCTCCCTCACAGAAAGTTCCTACATGAAATGGTTATGAATTCACTGCCTGATGACTGAGACACTGTTTAATGATAGTTTAGAGAACTTAAACTCCATTCATGGTGGAGGGATACATGCAGGGCGCTGTGAGGCAAAATAGTCCCCAAAGAAAACATGTTATTTCAGATTTTCCATTATTTTCCATCATCAACATTCCATATAGACTCAGAAGACTCAGAAGGCTGCTGTTGGGGTTGTGGTGCTAATAAAGCTAAAGGAGCTGCATCTCCGTCTCTTCAAGGTCAAACGCTGAGCGAAGCTGCTCGATGATGTCCGAGCTTTGAGAAACTGTCCAGAGTGAAATGAGACACTAACAGCTCTGAGTTAAAGCTGTCGGGATCCTGTTAGAGATGCGGGAATGAAAAGAGCCGACGTTCCTTCACTGCGTGGAGCTGCATTTCTGCACACAGTCTGACATTTTCATTGCTGCTCTGATGTTGTTGTTGATTCGCTGGTCTAGAACGTGGGCTGGTGTATGTAAATTTTGAGGATGTAAATATTAATGAGTCTAGACTGTTACGTTACAGTTTAGGATTTTGGAATCAGCCTGTTTTACCGCCCTCCTTTACAAATGATTTGTATCTGAAGGAGGAGACAGCGAAGGAGGAGACAGCAGTGTTCGAAGTTCGCAGTGTGTCAGTCCAGGTGCCGACCTCTCCTTATTCAACTACACCAACTTAAATACAGTTTTCCATTCTATGGCACCTTTAAAAGCTAAAAAGGTTTTGTCTTCTCCTG